TTAAAGAACTGGCCTGTTACTTTATTGTCTGTGATTGTCAATATTGATTTTGTAGACATGGACAAAAGCACCTGACGCATAGTGATCTCTTGCCTATTATCAGTCAGTGGAAGAAAAGAAAAAATGATAACTCCTTTTGAGCATTGATTTTATGTCATCTTTTATGGCTAAGACACCAAAGTCCAACCTTTTAACTTCTGGAACAACTTCAGAATATTAGCTTATTGAAAAGACTAAAGCTGCATAGATTTGACACTTCCAAAAAAATATTTTAGATGCGTATTCAAGTACACCTTAAAAAGATTCTGTTTATTACAATGATAATCTTAAACTTTATTGTAAGCTTGAATCGAATGACCTAGGTAAAGCATAATTTATCACTTTCAGGCAAAAGACTTGTTATGTGTCATGTTCCAAGTACTTTCAACCAGGCTAGATAACACTAGTCTTCTGCAAAGTAATTGTTTGTGGAGAAATGTTAGTAACCACAAAGTTGGCAGTTTAAAATTTTTTACAGTATCTTAAGTGGCTCTTACTATTTGCTCCAGTTATATACCTAGGGATTATATTTTGTATTGTTTTTTCATCTTTTACGTAATTTGAGTGTTTCTGGTTAGAGTAAATTAAGTTTAGCATTTTTGTGTGTGCTATTATGATTATAGAAATAATTTTATTTGTTCATATATAATTAGCAAAGCTATTATTACTAAGAGCAAGGCATGGTGGAGTAATGGATAGCGGCTTGGATTGAGGAATCAGAGAGCTGAGTTCGAATTCCAGTCAAATCCATTACATTCACTTACATGCTAAAAGATGAAAGATATGAATCCTCTTCTTCTCCCCCCAGCTAAGGGTAAATAGCAGGACAGACCAGGTTCTATAGCCTTGGATGGCAACTGGTCTATTGCATGAAAAAAAAATCTGCCTCGTCAGTCATGTATTGAAAGATAAATGATCGCCTAAGCATGTATCACACATGGCACATAACTGACTGATTATTACTAAGTGTTTATTTAATATTAGATAATTATTTATAGAAATTGTTCTAGAAGATATTAAATTTGCACAGTTTATAGGGTATTTTATGACAGCTGTCTTGTAAGGGTGTTCACTATGATAGTGTTGTACTTGATAATTACAGAAACATATCTATCATGTTGCATTGTCATTGTTAGTGCAGAAGTTGGTTCAAATGTTTATTCTTGTTTAATAATGACAAATAGTTCTTATAGGTTTTGTTAAGAGGACTTGTGTTATATGCTTGTAGAAGTTTTTAAATATGTAAAGAAATCAGAATATGCAAATGCTATTGTCATATGTAACTTATACAATGTTATTTGTGTTAACATTTTTAAGAGAAGCAGGCAACTTAGAAAATACTTTAAACAATAATAATGAATTTTTTAAAAAATTTACACAACTTTTCATCAGTTGTTAGGTTTAATGGAGATGAAAATTATTTTTTCTTTTAGATATTTAATTTAAAAAAAAAAACTCTTTTAGCATTTTAATTTCTTTATTTACCTAAAACTAGAATAATTTTTAACTTAGTGCCTTAATGTTTTAAAAAATGACTATATATTACTGTAAATATACATTTTAAATTTAAGGAAAACTTACATAGAAATGTTTGTTTTTATTATTAAAACATAGACAGAAAATGCCATTAATTAACCTGTTTTAAAAATGCCATTTATTTGCTTAAACATTTTTGATTTGTTTTTCTTTTTGCTTGATATTAACAAATGATGTCTCCATATTTAATACAATCATTATCATTTATAAACAGGTTCTTTTGATTAAATTAAATGGTTAACTGAATAAGGTAGAAATTCCTTTTGAAATTCATGTGCATTTAGGTTAATATTAAAGTCTTTTTTCCATTTAAATTAAATTGACTAATATTGAATGCAAAGCAGGAAATGTAATTTAATTATATGAATTTCTATAGGAACAGAGCATCTCTACCAAAGATGCTAAAGTGTAGATCAGTTACTCTGAGAAAAATATAGTGGGATATGATCAAGCCAATAATTGCTTATGACAAAAAAAATGTGATTATGGTGCATGCATGCATGTGTGTGAAAATTCTTTTCTATTCTTAAATTTATCTCTAGCAGGTTAGAAAAAACTATCACTGTTCAATAGCTTTTATAGGATTGCACTCAGTTTCAAAGTCCTTGTATCAAATCTATGAAGATGAATGGGACAGTGTAATGTGAGGTTCTTCTTGAAACTTTTTTTTAAATAGAAAATACCCCAGAAATAAGGAACAAAAAAAAAGAAGTTTCATTTTCTTGTATCTTATCACTATAACAGTCACTAAAGAATCAATCTAATATAAGAATACTTTAATAGGTCTGCAGTATGACATTTAACTGAATTACAAAAATCTTCATATGATTGATAATCATCACTGAATTGGGTGCATTGACAAAGGTGATTATGTTGAAAATAAATATTTGTTATATAAAATAAATGCTTTTTCAGAGTTATGTTATAGGCTTATTAATTTATTTACATATTTGATTTGAATTGTATATTCAACATAATTAAATTTACAAAAGGTGTTTGTGCAGTAGTGGTGCTAGTTGAGATTTTTAAAAGTTAGCATGTTTGAACTACATCAGACCAACTTCTTGTTGGTTCTTTAACATTTTCAGGCTTTTATCTATGTTGCCTTTGAAGCAAATTCATGAACTATTCCTTGATTCTTGAATCTCTTGAACCTCAACTGAGACCTCTTAGTCAACTCATAAACATTCCATATTAATTTTTGGAGCTTTTAAAGCCCACTTTCCTGATTTCTGAATATCTTATAGCAATCTTAAAACCCTTCTTGGCATTTTTTGAATACCTAAAAATCCCTGTATAGATTGTTGATTCTTCAATCCCTTAAAGCTTACCATAGGTTTATTTCTAATTGATGTACACCTTAATGTTTTGTTTAGACCCTTTCTCTCTTTTTTTAGATTCTTTAAGTCTACTATTGGCTTATTTCTGATTCTATCAAATTCTTATTGCTATCTGTTGGATTTTCAGATGCTAATGGTGGAGCATAGATTCATTGGAATCTCTCTATTATGGTTCATGTAGCAAGGATAATAATCTTTGGCATAAATGATGTAGCATTTAGTAAATGTCTAAATGTCATAAAAAAAACAAAGTATTGTTATTATGTGTTAAGAAGCAAGTCTAACAGTTGAAGAAACACATGTTAGCTTTTATACATGCTAGATATTTAATCTTGTAAACATTTTTTTTATTAGCATTTGTTCATCTACTTTTGTGATAATAAAGTGTGTGACCCAAACAGCTTTGCATTGTCTTACTGAAAATTTTGTATTTTACCTTTTAATCAGTAATAATATTTTAAATGAAAATGATTTTTTTAATGCATTTTATAAGTATTAATTTCTTTTTAAATGGAACCAATGCATAAGTATAATTAACCAGCATATTTGCTTTAGGTATTTATAGAGTGCTTTTATATTATTAAAAAAGAATTATTGAATAGGCTGTTTCCAGCTTACAAAGTTTGTATCAACTGTTTTTTCATTTATTTCTGTCTGAATTTCTGGGAATAGGAGTTAATCTTATTTACGTCATTTACAGTCAGACTAATCTCCTCATCTTTGTTATCATAATGTTTTGGCTTTTGTGCCCTCCAGCACACTTCAGATGGCCATCAATCCAGGTAACCTTCAAGGAATTTCAAACAGAACATTTCATTTAATCTATGGGAGCAGATTTTTCTTATTCTACAGTCCATGTTTAAGGATATCTCCTCTTGTACATTTTTTTTTAAAGTATTGCTCAGTTATTGTTAGTCCCATTTCTACTGAGTCTGTACTGCAGCTCAGAGATTGAACTCAAAATTACTATGTCAATAAATTCATGAGCTAACACTTAGATCTCTTTCTGATTCACTGCACATCAAAACTTGGTGGCACACATAAAGGCAAATAAATGTAAGAATAATAACAAATAATAAAGTAATCAATAATAATGAGCAAAAAATGTTAAGAAATCTACAAATAAGGATATTTGAATCCACAATTATTTCTACTCAATAGCCTCTTGAATAAGTTAAAGTATAATCATTACCACCTACCCAATAACTTTTAGGATAATACAATAAACCATCTACCAATAATGTACCATTGACCAGCATATATAGTTAAGCCAAAACATAACACATGGCCTGAAGATCACAATTAAACATGGAGTGTTGCTGCTAGGTGTTCACCACAGTGTCCACATACACTCTATCTCTGATATTGAGCACTTTAACCCATAAATATAGCATACCTTAAAACTAATTTTTTATCATATATATATAATAGCTGGCCACTTGTATTCGAGGATACCCGTCTTACTAGGGTGGCTAGCAATCTCTATTGCAGACGCTCACTCAGGCACATTTGTGTTTGCTCAACATACACAGAGTTTCTGGGAGAGAGTGTGTTCAACAATTTGAACAAGGCTAGCATACTCAAGCCCTTGGCCACGATGACTTGTGGCTTCGTGCTAGCACAGCTATTGACGACCCATGAGAATTCTGTCTACCGAATTTCACTCACAAGGTTTTGGGTCAATCCATGGTATGGTTTTCAGGCACTTTCCAAAAGTGCCGCACACTGGGATCGACCTTGATCCAGTCCAATAACATCAGGAAGTCGCCTTACTGACAAATCGACCATGGTGAGATTCGAACACAGGACTCATTGTCAGAAAGTGAATGTTCTAATATATATATATATGTGTACACACACATACACACTTCAGTTCTTTTCTACATGCTGTCATTTCTGTTAGGTTTCCTTCTGTTAAATTAATCAAATTAAAATGTTAAAATGCACTAAAAAACAAAAATGGTAAATGTTTTGCATATTTAGGGAGGATTAATTTGGTTGTTAGTTTAAGTATTTTTCATGGTTTGTTATATAACACTTTTTTTCTTTAGATATATTAATTTTGTTATTTCTTTTGTCTTTCAGGGTCAAGGGAATGTTACAGTGTCAGCATTAAAGGCTAAGTTTGACACACCAATCTCCAACAATAAAACAGAAGGAACAGCCAAGAAAGTCACAGATCGTAATGCAAGATTTAAGCCTCACAGTCCACCAGATAAAACAAATCATGCCACCATTCCATCATATAATAGAGCTATATCCGCAACCCTTGACAGAAAGACAAACCGAGAAGACACCCACAAAAGACTGAGTTACACCAAGACAGATTCTGTGCAATGTGATAAATCTACACTGAACGGAAACGCTCAATCAGAAAGCAGTTCCCGACTAAGCATGACAACTAACAAAATCAACATTCCTGCAGCGTTTTCCAAGGAGACACCACCATCTTCAGTTACATCCACCAAACAGACAGGCCGTGTTACCTATGGTGGCAGTCGACAAGGCAGCAAAGATTCTAATAGTGAAAACTCCCTGGAAAATTCCCCTAAAAAGACTTATGGATCTTCAGGATCACCAAAGAATTTAGTTACAGACAAAGGCATTGCAATGAGGGAGGCTAATGAAATCAAAAACCTTGGGGAAGGTCTGGTGAAAAAACGGGCAGAACTTCTGTTTCAAAATATCCATGGAAATTCAAGTACTACTACTAAATCAAAACCGTCCCCACCTACCACATCCGACCGGAGAGACTCTCTCCCAAAAGGAATTTCGATGACTAACAAAGGTATTATCATCAGAGAGAGAGATGGTAAAAAATTTCAAATGTGTAGCAAGGCTAAGTTGAACACAACACAAAAATGTCCGTGCAAACCTAAGAAACTTGAAAGTAATCAATTCCAGGCTTTATTAAAACAATACAGAAATGCTGTAGAGGTTTTAAGAAGTAAGTAACCATTTATGTTTTCTTTACTTATAATCCACTTTGCATTTTTAAATAATGATATCAAATGAGAATGAAATAGTTTTGTTTTATTATTTGTGAATGGAGTAATAGATATCAGCTCAGAATGAGAAATCAGAGAGCTGAGTTCAAATTCTGGTTCAGTTCATTATATTCACTTACACGCAAATACCCTTGGGAAAGGTATGAATCTATTTCTTCTCCCCCCCCCCAGCTATAAGTTGAATAGCAGGACAAACTGGGTCCTATGGTCTTGATTGTCAACCAGTCTATGGCAGAAAGAAACAGTAACCTACTGCAGGAAAATCTGCCTAGTTACTCATGAATCAAAAGAACATGTATCACGTATGACGCTTAACCAACTGGCTGATGTATGACTAAAATTTAATTGAACAGTGAATTTAAACAGTTTCAACATGCTTGTAAAGAACATGTTGTCACTTTTGGATAATTACAATGACAGTTGTAGATGATATAATTTATTAAACTTATAAATTTATATTTTGAATTATAAACTTATAAATTTATATCATTATTATTATTAAGACTTGTATGCAAATAAAACATCATTACTTGTTTAATATGTCAATAAAACACATTTTTATTTTTTTTAAAACAACAAATTTTAGCTAACTTGACACTTTAATTCATATTGACATTGAAAATAAATTTTTTAAAAATAAGAAATAATATTAATACACATAAAGAATAATGTATTATTTAGGTTTGAAGCAGCACTTCTGTCTCCAGTTAAAGTGTTTCTCCTTAGCTTTTTGTCTAGGATCAAAGTAGGGTATTGCTGTACTATATGAAAATTATTTTTCTCACATACGGGATATATCAGATAACTGGGAATAAATTATAATGTAAAAAATAAACAAAAAAAAAATCAATATATTTTCAAAAACAAATTGTACAGCTGTTTAACATAATCAATAAAACCACTCTCAAGTATAGTCACAAAAGTGACTCCATACCCACATCAAATGATTCACATTCATGTTGGCTATCATGATGATAGCCTTTACAAAGTCTTTGGTATTGTAGGGCTTTTGATTTGTTTCCCTCTTGTGACATCCCAAGTCTAGCGAATTCCTCTCAGGGGAACTAGAATGCTAGAAGTTGGTGGTGACATGATTGGAAAATTCTTGGTCAGTTATGTGGGGTGGAGAAAAGTCTTGCTGCAATATGTACAACTTCCCTTAGGTCAATTGCACAATCCAGGGTTTGACCACCATTCTGACACCTCAATGCAAGTAGTAACATTGACCCTGAGATACTGTGGGAAGAAGATGGGTAGTATGATAAGCTCCTTGTTGCTTACAATCCTCAGGACCATAGTATACAGCATGAATTTGATGTGCATTATTGTGGGTACTTCTATGGGATCCATGCAGACAGTGCCACCTGTTGTTCTCCCTGGGTTTTTCAGATATGAACTACTCTCTGTTTATCAGATAGAATTTATGCCTGATGTCCTCATGTTGTACCACACATCTAATAATTTTAATATTTTAATGAGTTATTTATATTTTTTTTAAATAATATTGATACATTAAACTTTTTCCAAACAAGACTAAACACTTTTTAATTTTTTCTTACATATTTTTACATGATAGTCATGTGAATAATATTTTCTTTCATAATGAGATAAATTGGATTTCTGAAAACGTACTTCAATTTTTTTTTTCAAAGTACTACCAACAATACTTAACCAAGGACAATACTTGAGTGGTATAATATTGCAAAAGATAATTTTACTATCATCTATCTCTACACTGAAATATGTAACTTTTGTTTCTTTGTCCATCTATAACTGCTATTACACTAAAAGCAAGCAGATATATAAACACTTAGATTTCAAGGTCTCACTTAGATGTAAGCAATCAAGTCAAATATCCACTTTGCCAACATTCTGGTACTTGAACAGTATAGTAAAAGTTTTAATATTTTTTTATTATTTGGAATTATTTTAATAAGTCACATTTCTTTTCAAATAGTATTGATACATTTACTTATTTCAAATAGCAAAAACTAAATTTTACATTTTAATATAAGACAGTCATGTGAATAAGATTTTTTGTATAAAGTAAGTATCAGTAATAAGTCAGTATCTATAAAATTACAGTAAATTCTTGTTTAGATAACATCTACAAATATCCATGTATATATAACACGGTTTCCAGATTGGGCTACAGAAAGCAAATTGAATTAATTTGAAAGCCCAGTGCAAATTCGTTTTTAATTGACTTTCTTCTCACTAATTGCCCAGTTTCTTTTCAAAGTAGAAAAGCACTATTTACATTATTTGGACTATTGTCTTCATCTTTGTCGCCATATTTATTACAAAGTTTCAGCCGTTGTATGCTCCGGCCTTCTTCAGGTGGTTGCAATGTCAAACTGAACCCTTTATTTCGCTCACTGGGGTAAACGGTTCTAGTTTCATGTGGTATGTTTAATGGATGTCAGTTATCAGTTATCTCCTGTTAATTTTCTCAAGGACACATGGCACAGTGGATAAAGGCATTAGTTAGATCTAGTGACAGGACCCAAAGAGTGTGAGTTCAATACCCGGCTAAAGCAGTGGAGAACTTTCAGAGGGAAATTAACAGGAGATAACTGACATCCATTAAACATGGCATGTGGAACTAGAACAGTCAACTCCAGTGAGCAAAATAAAGGGTTCAGTTCGACATTCCAACCACCTGAAGAAGGCCAGAGTGTACAACAGCCAAAACGTAATAAATATGGCGACAAAGATGAGGACAATAGTCCGAATAATGTACATAATACCTCATCTCATAAATATAGACAGATAGAAAAGCACTACTTAAACTAAAATTTTCTGTTATTAAGTATGTCTTTAGTTTAATGTGGGTTGTGTAGCTGTTACCAAAATGGAAAAGGGGAAATGGCAAGCTGAATTCAAATTCCAACCTATTCTGTTGCATTCATTTTTGCACTAATGCCCTTGAGAGAGACATAACTCAATCTCTTATCACCATAGCTTTGGTAGTAAGGTAGACTGGATTCTCTTACTTTTGGTGGTAACCAGCCTAGGAGAAGGACTATTCAGGGTTCAAAACAGTTCAAAAGAGAGGAGACTGCAATAGGGAACCACTCCACTATCTTTCCCAAGAAATCATAGCAGTTCAGTATTAAAGAAAAAGAATTTGTGGGGGCTATGATAACCTAGATCCTGGTAGGACATAACATTAAAAAAGAATAAAAGCTTGAATATTTTTAATAACAATCCATGATACATGCTAGAAATACATAAAAATAAATGTGGGGTTTAAATCTTGACACTAAAAAAGAAATGCAGTAAAAAAAAAAATTTATATTTTTGATATATTATAAGTATCATGTATTGATTAAAAATACCATGTGTTTATAGGCTTATGGCCACATCATGTTGAAACATTGATTCCTGAAGTTAAGCAATGTGAAGTCTGGTCAGTACCTAGATGGGTGACCACTTGGGAATACCAGCTTGAATGTGTGTGTCATGTAATGGATAATTGTTTGGAATTGTTAATCAGAGAGCTGAGTTCTAATTCCTGTTGGGTTCATTATATTCATTTACTTGCAAATACCCTTGGGAAAGGTATGAATTCACCTCTTCTCTCCCATCTATGTGTTAATTAGTAAGATTTGTGTCCTAAAACCATTATTATTAAAAAAAATATTTACAATCTAAAAAATATTTTCTGGCTTTAAATAAGCTGCAAGGGGTTGATAAGCTGTAAAAAATGTATCAATCAAATGTGTGTTTATAAAAATATCTTAAAGGGCATAAAATACTTGGAAATAAGATGATAAAGAATGTTTTTACAAATATAAAAAATTGCAATTTTTCATACAAGTATATCAATTTGATTGGTTCACTCAGTCACTATATTTGTTAGTAGTGAAATGTCTTTAACAATCTGAAGATTTCTATATTCCCCCTGCAAGCTATATGAACGTCAAAAAGAATATTGATCTCTAATTCAGGCTGGTATATTTCTATTTCTTTATTTTCACACCTAAAATACTAATTTGATTTCTTTTCTAATTGTGCACCTAAATGCAGCAAGAACCCCTGGTCTATTTTCCATCAGAAAATAAAAATTGTTCCATCAATTTTAGGATCTCCACTGACACTTCAATTATAGAAGTTTTCATCCAAATATGTTGTGCAGTCAGTCAGCTGTTTCTTCTAGATCCTGGGTTGCTCTCACAAATTCTATATAATTAAACCAGGAAGATCTCTTACACTCTCTTTCAAACTGATTCTCTATTACTTTCTTTTACTTGTATTTTCTTTCCATTAGATTTTCTCATACTTAATTCAAAGTAGTTCAGGAAATCTCTGATGTTATTTAAGATTTTTTTAATGTTTTTTTCTCCAAAAAATATTACAAATTTGTTTATAATTTTGTGAAGCATTATTAACGTATCCAATGTTATTCTGACACTTCAATCTCTTTGTATAATTACATTTGTTATCATGTTTTGGCCGATTCATTCTTCAGCCTTATTAATGTGTAATCTATGAGGAGAAAAAACCCTAACAGTAATAATCCCTTAAAGTACCCACTAGACTAGTTTATTTTTACAGCAATAAGTACATAGTGTTTGGATGATTTCAAATTACACCAAGTGGAGGAGGTTCTTCTAACGCCAACTTTACTCAGCTAAGAAAACCACATTGAATTCCATGCTAGTGTGGCACAGTGGATCCCTGTTAGTTTGGTTAGGACACCAACAAAGTTAAATGGGCTGTAAAGGATTTTATCTGTGCCTTGTTTTTTAATAGTCAACTTTAAAATCAAGATGTGGGGACTTCAAAGCAACCACTTACTGCCTACAAGTAAATAAATAAATGAAAAGTTTCTAGAGATGCTACTTGATTGAAAGGTAGAGAATTTCAGTCATGGGTTTGTATAGTCAAGCAGCATTCTAAAATGGCCATTCAAAAGCCATCAGTTGTAGATGTA